GGCGGGGCTACCATCTCCCTCTCGACACAGAGGCCATCCGAAGAGCGTTGCACGACCGTTGTGTGATCCTTAGCCAATACAATTCCCGGCTGCATTACGAGCGCTTTTGCTTAGACGTTGTCTTAGAGGAGATGGAAGAAGATGGCGACGAATCGAGTGAAAACCAACAATTTCGACGTTTTTACAAAAGAGACGCCAGTACGGCGGCTTTTGTTGAGCACTTTCGGGATGCTGATCCAAGCAATGAGTTCTCTGATTTCTACTTTTTCTTCAATTCCCCACCAATACACGAATGGGCGACGATGCCATACTGTGAGCAGAGTAAACGGCACATCGATTACTTTGCGAGTAGAACATTGCCGCCCAAACCTCCGCCAACAAACGAACAAAGGGCGTTCACCGAAAAGTATCGTCTTTTTGAGCGAGCTTTCAGCTACTTGCTCTGGTACGCAAACATTGACAAACATTTGACAGTACTCCATTTGATTGAAGAGTTTCTACGTGAAACAGAAAAAGTTGAAGATTATTCGTTAAAATGTTTGTTTGTCTCAATTGATCAGCCAGTGGCTTTTCGTGGTAATTACCTATTTGTACATGTTCCGTCAACAAACACCGTGGTCCTATTGGACGAGACATTCGTGCTGACAAGGGGTTCAGTGGAACCCGTGAAGCTCTCGTTGATCGGATATGTGAATGTGCGATTCAGAGAACTGCGAAAGTTATTGGAAGAAATGGTCGCATTGTACAACGCCGATTATTACTCAGCATGCGGTAAGTACGTTGGAAATACAGTGTATATCTTCAGAATGTTTTAAACTAGGAGAACGAATAGATAGAAGTAACTAATCAAACTTTTTCCTAAGCTTTTCCAAAAGTTTCGTTTCGTTTCGTGACCAATAAGTCCTGTTTGAGTTAGCCTAAAAATGAAGTTACAAGAAATTAAAGACGAATAGATTCTGACGTAAGGCGTAGGACTGAAATTATTGGGTTGGTGAGTTGAAAACTGCCGGACTTTGAACTAAAATTTATTCAACATAAAACCATCAATTCATTCCAAATAATTTCCATTGTTATTGACGACTTCTGCCCATTTTATAGGCAATTTGCGGATTCCTCTTTCGTAGTAGGATTTTGGTTTTTGTGTGAGACAAGTGTGAGACTCAAAAATGGAGGACTGGAGATGATTCAGTTTAAGCCCATTCTTCAAAAGAAACCCATTTTGGTGTTAATAGAAAAGTTGTAGAGAATCAAAAATTAGGCTTATAGCCAAATTTTCAAGAAGATACACTTCGTAGTTTCGCTTAAAATGCAAGTTTTGTGAAAATTCGTAAATTTGGCATTTCTTGAAAACCACTTTTGAATCGTTCTGAAAATTTGGATATAAGCTTGATTTTTGATTCTCTACAACTTTTCCATTGACACCAAAATGGGTTTCTTTTGAAGAATGGGCTTAAACTGTCACATATGACAATAGCCGGCAGTTTTCAATTCACCAACCCAATATTTTGACTTGTAAATTGATCTCAAAAACACAGTTTTAGAAGCGTTTCCGGAGTTGTGTGGTGAGTGGGAATACGAAGTCGAGCATCAAGAAGAAAGACAAAAGCTGTTCAAAAGTCTCCAGACCCTAGCCGAATTTCGGGCAACAATGCGTGCTCGTATGGGTGAATTTTGGAAGCGAATGGACGTTCACCTGGCCCCAACATGGAAAGAATTGCATCTGGTGGAATACTCGACTGCCTCGGTTCTTTTTATTAGTAACTGGATTCCGGCAAAAAGATGATCGAGACGATGGAGAGATAAAGCATTTTTCTTCAGGCCAATATTCCAAATCACCCCGATTTTCTGGTATAAAAAAAGAAATGATTTTCGCGTGCTTGTTTTTAATGTTCTCATCGTAACTTATAAGAAAAGCTCGGTAAATAGCAATTTTTCGCCAATGTCTCAATAAAAAAAATGGCTTAATTGTTGTTGTTCTCAATTGAAATGCATATAGATTATGCATGTACTTGTATGCATGTATTCATATTAAAATCATTACACTATAGACTTGGAAACTATAGACCTAAGAAAAATGCCGCAAAGTGAACAGTGATCTCTGTTGGCTAATCGGATAAACATTGACGTGAAGCTTTTTTGTGCCTATGGTTGTTTAATCAAATTTTTACAGTGCCACGACATGGGACTTTGCTGCTGATTTGTGTTGTGCACACTCAAAAAAACCATTTATTTGTTCGCTTCACTTTTCAAAGTTTTCCCACTTGGCATATTGCAGAGAAAACGGGCGGACGTATGGGATGGAGGGGCTCTGGCCCAAAGGTGCGCCGCCTTGCACGACACGTCATTCATCATCTAGGATTAAATGATCTATTGTTCACTGTCAGCAATTCTTTACTAGCATCTCGAATTCTCGAATCTGGCGGCGACAAGCTGGCGTCCATATAGTCTACTGGCAATCCACCCGTCCAATTTCCCTGCCCCACGACGTCAAATCCAAAATACCCGATGTGCATGAAGCCTGATCCCGTATCGAAGCAGGGATTCCCACCCGGAGACTCATTGGCCCGATCCGCCACCTTTCGAGACAATTATCTCTCAAAAAATACCAAAATATACTTTCAGAGCAGCAGTGGATAAGGATGGGGCAACAAGCCTCGTTTTTTTGAATGAGACCAAGTTTCCATTGATCTGAGCCTAAGCCAGAATCAACACTTTTTCTGTTTTTACACCTTCGCTGTTAAATGTTTTTTTTTTGAATCGATTAGTAGGGAAAGTTTATCGTATAGGGATTAAGCTGTACATAAACTGAAATTGTAAATGAAAAAAGCTGTTATCTATTTACACATTTCACTTAAACTCTATAGACTTATTGTAACTATAAGTTTAATTTTTCATTTCTCCTGTGCTTGTCACGGTATCCTCCACCAGCCAGTTGGATTCTCGAATTCTTTTGCCAAGAGCTTGTCTCTGAAACTTTGAACTTTGTCTTTGAATGCTAAATGTATAATAGTCAAAATGTATTTTAATTGCTATACTACTCTGCTGTTTTCTAAAAGATTCCTGCAAAAGTTACTGTAATCCTGTTCAGTCAACGTAACGGCGTCAAATTTTTTTTGCGCAACTCACCATAACTTTCTTCTAAGTAGGTCAATATTTATGATTTTCGGTGCCATTTTGTAGATCTCAACAAGTGCAACAAAATGACACCAAAAATCATAAAGATTGACCCACTTCGAAGAAAGTTATGGTGAGTTGCGCAAAAAAAACATTGAAAGTAAAGTAACCACCCCCGCCCCTAAAGTAACGTTATTTCCATCTACGATGAGTTGGGACTAGACATGGGCAGATTCCGTCCCGAGATTCCCTAATTCTACCTTCGTTTTCTTGGACCTTTGACCTTTGATCTCCTTGACCGATTCATCTGAAATCTTGTCTACAGGTAGAGCTCGGCCTACTTGTAGGCAAAATTTCAGATCAATCGATCAAGGAGCAACCAAGAAAACGAAAGTGGAATTAGGTTCGGCGCGGAATTTGCCCATGTCTCGTTGGGACAAATTTAAGCAAGCAGTCAGGGTATGGTAACTTTTTTGCATCTTTTAGAAAACATTTTGACCTGATTATCTTTTTGATCTCACCTAGCAAAGCGATAGTAACCCCAGGTAACGGTGGCTCTCCACCAGCCGACAAAAAATCACCAACATCATGAGAAGATTTGAAGCTGAACAAAAGACTTTTTGTAGCGTACATTTCATAGTTAAACACTCACCTAACATAACCAAACTCGAATACAGGATGAATAGTTTGTCATTGGCAAAGTAGACAATAAAGCTGAAACGGGTGATATTGAAGTTATTTCCTTTGCTATAGCTCAACTGGCTTAATAAGTTACTGGCCTAATAAGCTACTGGCCTAATAAGCTACTGGCTTAATAAGTTACTGGCCTAATAAGCTACTGGCTTAAGAAGCTACTGGCTTAAGAAGCTACTGGCTTAAGAAGCTACTGGCTTAAGAAGCTACTGTCTTATTGAAATTAGGCTGTGATGGATCCCAAACAAGAATCACATTTAAAGGATTCAAATAATCACGACAGTTTTTAGAAAGTATAAGCTCATTTTTGCCCAAAAGTAGTTATGCTTTAAACTACTGACAAGTTTTGTACAAAATCAGGGGTAGGCTCGTTTCCGCAATTTTTTTGCGCAACAGGGTCATTTGCGCAACTCGCCATAACTTTCTTCTAAGTGGGTCAATCTTTATGATTTTGGTTTCGTTTTGTTGCACTTATTGAGATCTACAAAAATGAAACCAAAATTGAAACTAGTGCAGATCAAAAACTCGTGGGCCACCGGGACTTGCACCCGCGACCTTTTGCTAATGAAGTCTCTCTGGAGTAAGGGTGATCAGGTGTTGCACTTATTGAGATCTACAAATGACACCAACATCATAAAGATTGACCCGCTTAGGAAAGAGTTATAGCGAGTTGCGCAAATGACCCCGCTGCGCAAAAAAAATACGGAAATTAGCTTATGAAAAAATCCTTAGCAAAACACTTTAGCAAAAAAGCTCGTTAACAAACAGACTTTTCCGTATCCCGAACAAGTAAAATTAGTTTAATTTTTAGCCTCAATAACAAACATTACGCCTTTCCACACTTCACTAATTAGCTAAATTCTAAAATGAGCCTTAAAGAGCATCTATTCAGTCTATAGCTGAGTACCTTTTAAGCAATGAACGTATAAAAGGATTCGTTTTTTTCATTATTGGGGATAGGCTAATTTCCGCAATTTACGCAACAGGGTCATTTGCGCAACTAGACATAACTTTCTTCTAAGTGGACCAATCTTTATGACTTTGGTGTCATTTTGTAGAGCTCAATACGTGCAACAAAAATGAAACCAACATCACAAAGATTGGCTGACTTAGAAGAAAGTTATGGCGAGTTGAGCAAACGACCCAGTTGCGCAACAAAGGTGCGGAAACCAGCCTACTCCCAAAATCACTCACCTGATCACTGCCCCATTTGCCACCAGGTTCAAGACAGTAAACAATATCGAAAAAACAATTAACTCAAATAACTGAAGATCTTTAAGCTTTAGATTTAAAGATATCCAACTTACAAATAGAATCCAATAAACTTGAATCAAAACAGGTGTTTGTTTGTAGAGAGCGAAAAGAGCAAGGGTGATAAAAAAGATTGAATTCGCGATACCAATTGCCTGAAAATTGATTTCTGTTTGAAAAATCTGAGTTTTACTTACCCAAAAGTAAAAATATTGAGGTAGGAAGTATAGTAAAGTACTCCAAACTCCGATAATGAAAATATCGAGGAGAATGAATAAAGCACAGCCAACCTGGAAAAGAAAGTGGTCTTAAATTGGAAAGAATAATAGATAGAAATTAGATTGCTATATTTAAATGTAAATTTGCTATTGAACTGCTTTTATTTGCTTTTTGCTAGGCTTTTATTAAAACTTACCTTTGCCGTCAGAAACGCGCAAAAACAGCGATAATTTTCCTCTCGAACCGGACGCTCTGGATTCAATTCGGGTCTCCATAACCATTTCATTCTGAAACTAAAATTTATATTAAAAATAAGTAGATACTGATTTGGAAACGATTAAGTTATGAATTTTATTAGAAAAGACTAAGAATACTGTAAGACAAGGACCAGGAGAAGCAGAAAACTTGAAGATCCAATGACAAGTTTTCCAAGATGTAAAAATCTAATCTTTGCACCAATATTTCCTATAATTGAACGCTTATTAAGAAAAATTTTATTTCAAATTTCTCTTTATTTAATGAATCATCTACTTTCTCTCTAATGAATCATCCCCTCAGTGGGTAAATACTCGAAATGATGGCTCATCATTCTTTAAATTATTTTCTTAGAATTTCTAGGACAAAACAAATAATTGATAATGAGTAATTGAACGAAAAATTTAAAAACTTTGCTAATCTTTATAAGAAAGTTTAATTTGTTTTCTTTTTATAGAGTCAAAAGGTCATTCCCAGAAACATTCAAAAGATCATTCCCTTTCTTTGAAATTTCTCTAAAACCGATCGACTTAATTCGATTTTTCCGGGAATTTGAAAGATATTTGCTCTTTTCTCTAAAAGATATTTGCTTTACAGTGGATTTTCTTGGAACAGTGATTGAGAAATAGTGTTAAATTTCTATAGTAAATTTTTCAAACACTGTTGCAAGATGGTGGTGACATCGAGGGCTTCATATCTTCCCAACAACAGTCTTTATCCACTCCACATTCAACAAAATAGTTACACGGTGAATGCGGCTGGATGTCACATTTGGAAATACAGGGTGTTTTAAAAGAAGTCACTTAAGCGCTATTCCCAGAATTTCTAGTGGCTTCTGGTGATGCTTCTGGCTTCTGGTTGTGGTGCTAAAGTGAATATTTTTTTTAATAATTTTTGATATTCTTTCACTTTTTTCCCGAGATTTCATTACTCCCAATACATGAAATTTCTGAGTCGCCATCGCTGCCACCACCATGAGAATTTTACGATAAAATTGAAACTTTCTACTGAAATCGTGGTGTCATATTAGAGTTAGCATGCAAACATGCATTCGATTTTCTCTTTTTTGCACTATAGTCGGTTTATGGGTCAAAAACGAAAGTAAATATGGTCGATGAATAAAGTCAATACAAAACTAAGTCAATTCAGAACTTGAGTGTTGCTTAGCTGAATAACTTTAACGGTCTTTTCCTCATTCTTACACGGTGAATGCGGCTGGATCTCACATTTGGAAATACAGGGTTTTTCAAAAAAAAGTCAGTTAAGCGCGATTTTTCTCAGACTTTCTAGTGGCTTCTGGTGATTGTTGTGGTGCCAAAGTGAATATTTTTTGATAATTTTTGATATTCTTTCACTTTTTCCCCGATTTCATGACTCCCAATACATGAAATTTCTGAGCCACCATCGCTGCCACCATCATGAGATTTTTAACATAAAATTGAAACTTTCTAATGGCATCATGGTGTCATATTGAGTTAACATGCAAACCACAGAACAAATCACAACTTTGGCCGCTCACGGAATGACAGCTTCGTGGATGGCGTTGATATTTTTTGAGCCATACCCACGATATCTATGCAATTGGGGAAAGTCGACAGCTTTCTACTGACATCGTGGTGTGATATTAGAGTTATTATATAAACTAAGACTTTTAGCCAAAAACTTTATTCATTTAGATTATATGATAATCTTCTGGTGTCATATTAGAGTTAGCATGCAAACATGCATTAGATTTTCTCTTTTTTGCACTATAGTCGGTTTATGGGGCAAAAACGAAAGTAAATATGATCGATAAAGAAAGTCAATACAAAACTAAGTCAATTCAGAACTTGAGTTTGATACTGAAGAATATGACAGTACGGTAATGAGCTACAGTACTGGCAAATGATGCTGAAAAAATGTGGTTTTATGGTAGTACAATGGTATTTTAAATCAACTAGGTTCAAAGCTAATTTCAAAAGGAGATGAGATAACTCTTTACTCAAAAGGAGATGAGATACTTTTCGTACAACGCTTTCTCTCTTAAAACTCAAAACTTTTATTCATATCACTCCTCGACTTCGAAAGGTAACTCCATATTTTTGAGGCAACAACCATCCGCATCACCGCACTCTTTCCAATAGTTGCATGGAGGGCTTTGTTGCTCGTCACATCTGAAGTTCGTGGAACTGACTGCTTATTCTTCTAATCCAATGCAAGAGTACTTTTGAGGCATATGAATTTTCAAATCAGACCCTAGGTCCTGTAATAAAGTAAACTAAGAAATAGCAAAGAAAGATTTCAAGGGAGGGAATTGAACTCTCAACCTTTTGCATTCCAGGTAGATGCTCTAACCACTGAGCTATCGGGTATCTTCTTATCAGAGAAGAAAGAGGAAATGGGGAAGAGAAAGGAAGAACGAGAAGGAAATACCCGGCTCTTCACAACCGCTGGCTTCCGCCCTACTTCAAAGTCAGAACACAGGCATTAGTAGTAAAGTAAGGTCTGTAAGTCAAGTCAGGTCTGATCAGGGCCAAGATCAAGATCAGAGGCAGGTCAGCGTCAAGTTCGACCTTAAAGACTATCAACGATAATCTTTATGGCTTAAGAACTATATCTACTTGCTAAATTTTAAACACCATGACAAGTGTACTTTTCTAAATGATGAAAACCATGCTCACCTCTTCCCAGCATAAGGCGTGAGACTCGCCAAATGGTTGACCACTTCTTTATCAGTCCCGTCTTGTTTCAGTAACTTCGCCATTTCCGCAATTTTATCTTTCTTTTCATGAAGCATCGCGTCACATTTTTCCTCCTAAACGGGTATCAACATCTAGAATTCTTTTAACCGTAAAAGGCGCGTCAACGACTCCATAAATCCCATTCTGGAGGCATCCACGATGAAGAAACCACCCAATCATTCTTTGATCAATCCACTTGAGTTTTTCCTCAATGTACGGGAAACGAAAGCCTCTCACCATCATCTAGATTAGATTAAAGTTTAAATAGCATCTAAAGTAGGCTGCGCTTTCTTGAATGACTTGATCGACTCTAGATCTATAGGGTTGGTGAATTGAAAACTGCGGGCTATTGTCATATGTGACAGTTTGAGCACTTTCTTCAAAAGAAACCCATTTTGGTGTTAATGAAAAAGTTGTAGAGAATCAAAAATCAAGCTTATATCCAAATTTTCAGAACGATTCAAAAACTGGTTTTTAAGAAATGCCAAATTTACGAATTTTCACAAAACTTGCATTTTAAGCGAAACTACTAAGTGTATCTTTTTTGAAAATTTGGCTATAAGCCTAATTTTTGATTCTCTACAACTTTTCTATTGGCACCAAAATGGGTTTCTTTTGAAGAAAGTGCTCAAATGCTCAAACTGGGACATCTCCAGTCCTCCATTTTTGAGTCTCGCACTTGTCTCACACACAAACCCAAATCCTACTACGAAAGAGGAATCCGCAAATTGCCTGTAAAATGGGCAGAAGTCGCCAATAATAATGAAAATTATTTGCAATGAATTTATGGTTTTATGTTGAATAAATTTTAGTTCAAAATCCGGCAGTTTTCAATTCGCCAACCCAATAGCTCAAGTTTAAACTTATGGCTTTTATATGGCTTTTAGTTTTTGATTGATTAAAGAAGATTCCAAAGATATCAAAAAAAAGATCGAATTTAAAGGTTTGAAGGGCTAATTCTGAAAGCTTTTCGCAAGCTATGATAATAAATCTGCAATTGCATTGGAATTCAGTCAATGAGCAAAGAAGATTGCATGTAACAAATTTCTGATCTTAATTTAATTCTTTGGCTTTAAGAATTTTTTAAATATTTTAGGTACCGAAGTATTTAGACGATTGTTTTGAATTTTGTTAGTGATTTTTAGTGATTAAAACTTACAGCCGAAACGGCACAGAATTGCTCAAAAGTGAGCTGACCTTGCCCTTCCACGTTGCTCGTCCAGGGATTCGACACAACCAAAACGATAACGAATCGAAAAAGACTCATTTCTTGATTTCGTATAAAACTTTTGAAATGAAAAAAGATTTGCCAAACTATAAAGCCAAAAAATTTCATTCTGCTCATCACTTTGAATCTATTTTTTTCAATGATACGATTGTACAATTCTAGTTGGAAATTGTTCAATTGAATTGTTCAATTGAATTGTTCAAAATGTGTAAATGTAAAGCTTTCCTTACATGCGTGTTCAACCAGCCATTCGACGTTTGTTTTGAGTAAATACTTCAATTCACCATCTTTCACCAAAACTCGTAGACCTCTAATACTGGTCTAAATGAAAGACAATATGGTATTGAACAGTGAAATGACATAAAGTATTCATAGCTTTATGCTTTGACGTTCAAATTAGAGTTTTACGATTGTACAATCCTAGTTGGAAATTGTTCAGTTGAATTTTTCAATTGAATTGTTCAATTGCATTGTTCAAAATGTGTAACTGTAAAGCTTTTATGAAGTGTAAAAGGCTAATTCTGAAAGCTTTTCGCAAGCTATTAGGTTGATGCATAAGTCTTTTTGTTCCTTTTCGTCTGCCGTTTCAAGCCAACAAATGCACCAATTAAACTACGGTTGATTTCATTAGAAAAACGAATTATTTTTCTGCAAAATAACATTAAAACGGGTTTAAAAATATTTTATGCCTGGATTTTCTTGAGAGTATGAAGTCGGGTAGTCAAAAAGGGCTAACTCGATGATGCGGTTTAGACACCTTAGCTAAAGAAAACCTATCTTCGTGTCAATAGATAAAAGATAGAGAAAAAAAGTTTGATATTTCGCCAAAATTTCAGAGAAATTCATTGAGCCAATTTTTCCGTAGAGTTTTTTATAGATTTTTACGAAAAAGGCATTTTTCACTCTCGAATTTGCTTGAAAGTGAACCGAAATTGATTTAAAAAGATGCAAATTGAACAAAAAACACTTTTTTTATAGAGCAAACTATAGATTAATTGGTGAATTTGTTACTTTTTAACAGAAGTACGAAAAAACGAAAAGACTTATGCATCAACCTATTATGATAATAAATCTGCAATTGCA